TATATTTTGGAATTACTAGTGATTTCACTGATTTCTTACAATTATTTCATACTGATTTGGTATTCTTTGAAAATTGATAATGGTCGGAGAAGACTCAAAATTACAACTGAAAATTACTAATAGCTTCGAAATTTCGACTGATTCCTAATTACAACTGTTAAGGAGTTGATATTAGAAATAATGTTTCTTGTTATTTATTACTGATTTCTTGTCACGTCTCTAAATTAGTACCTAATTTTCATATCAACTGTATCAGTTGAAACTAGTTTATTGTGAAAACTCCAAATTAGCCTGATTAGTGTCAATTTCTAGTTGAACCAGCTGAAACCCAAAATTGTATAATGTGAAATTGTTGTAAAATACTGCCCACGTAAAAATTCAAAGAAACTTTAACCCGAGTAGAATTTCAATATGATGTTATGTTCTTCAATGAAGATGATAAATTGTGTATTGTAAGTATCTGAAAATTGATAAAATGGTGCTAATATTACTATAAAAATGTGATATGAATTGCCTTCTGGAAAAAATCTCTCCGATATAATTTTGGAATTTCTGATTTGGATTTTTCTAGTCACTTTTAACTAGATAGCAAATTGCATACTTTTAAGGGATCGTAGATTGCTGTTTGCGATCTCGACATTTTCATCGAGATCGCATGGAAAGGTGCGTTTTATTTATTTCCGAAATGTATCCGGTAGGATTTCTAGGGTGTAAGTTGTGTTGAGCAATATACAGGGTGTTTGGCCGTGAAACAGACAAACTCCATCTCAACCTATAGAGAACATTTCGGTGCATTCAAATTACCTACCATTCATTTCAAAGGACCCCGCACTTTCCTTATGGAAAATGGTTTTCGGTTAATGAATTTTTGGTATGATGTAGATTTTGACTTCCTAAGCAAAAGTGTCGATGGGCACAAAGAAATCGGCAGACTAGTTTTCGAGATACAGGGTGTCAAAGATGAAAAGTGAAGCTTTCTGCTCAGAATTTTAAACGACTCCGAGAATTGACAAAACGCCCATTCATTCATGGAATAGCCTGAATGATGGTACAATGTCATCTAGATCTCGTATTCATTATAATTTTACGTTTTGGGGTCTACAACAGGGTGAACAAAGAAAAATCCAATTCGATTAATTTCAAACCAACCAGAGTAAGTTCTTTCATGAGAATTAAAGATCCAATTGAAGCCTGCATGAACTTTCTCAATCCAAATCGAAGTTTACTGACATTTTTTTTATATACAGGGTGGTTGGTGGTTCGAAAATAGGGGTACGTCAATCCCTAGTTTTTTTATTCGGAAAGGGGAGAGCATATCATATATCGGGTGGTCACAAAAAAAACGGAAGTTTTTATTTTCCTCGTGGTTTCATCATTTCTCAACCGAATTTGAATTTCTTGCCGTCATTTCATAGCTAAAGGGCTATAGTATACAGTGAAATATTTGAAAATTTCATGATGAACAAAAACAAAATGGCGGATTCTACCAAAGTATTGTCATTTACAAAAACCGCTGGAGAGAAATAAAATCAGATTTTTGCCAACCTGTACCGATGTCATCTTAGGCTATTCATTTCTGAAGAGAATGAGTACTCGATAATCGAAATCGAATAAATAGTCCAGTAGATACACTCATTTCTTTGCAATTTGTTATGGAGTGAATGTGCTTATCTCGTATAAACGATTATTATTATTTTGCTTCAGGCTTCATGAAAATTCAATCGAATTTGGATTTCTTAGAGTTATTTCAAAGATAAAGAACTGTAGTACACAATGGAACATTTGAAAATCCAATAATTGAAAGAAACAAAATGGTGGAGAATCCAGAATTTTTGTGATTGTGGCGAATAAAAAAATGTTCATTCTTCCAATCAGGACCGATACAATTTTAGATCATTGATTTCTAAAAAGAATGAGCACTCGAACATCTGAATCGAACAATTAGTCCAGGAGAAACACGTTCTTTTTGGCAAAGTGTTATGGAGTGAATGTGCCAATCCCGTGATAAGAATTACTTTTAGTTTGCTTCTGGCTTCATCAGAATTCAATCGAATTCGGATTTCTTAATGCCATCCCAAAGCTGAATAGCTCATAACAAATTGCAAATAAATGAGTGAATCTACTGGACTATTTGTTCGATCTCGATGTTCGAGTACTTATTCTCTTCAGAAATGAATAGCCTAAGATGACATCGGTATACAGGTTGAAAAAAATCTGATTTTATTTTTCTCCAGCGGTTTTTGTAAATGACAATACTTTGGTAGAATCCGCCATTTTGTTTTTGTTCATCATGAAATTTTCAAATATTTCACTGTATACTATAGCCCTTTAGCTATGAAACGACGCCAAGAAATTCGAATTCGGTTGAGAAATGATGAAACCACGAGGAAAATAAAAACTTCCGGTTTTTTTGTGACCACCCGATATATATCAGACATTCTTTAATGTTGAGAACTTCGCATACTCATTTCATATATATAGGGTGAGTAAAAATATACAGTCCAAGTTTCTTGAAAAAATGTGGGTTTTTCAATGAATCCTGTATTTCGAAAAAGAACCGGTTAATTTTCTTGAATTTTGGATATAATGTTCGATTTGAGGAGTCGGAGATATTGTCATCAATATTAGCATAGGTCTCCGGACTCGTTTGTCGGCTATACACTTTTGAATGTATGGCTTTTTTCGTATTTTTTCAATTTTTTGGATGAAATTCCTCTTTAATTAGAAGAATTAGAAAAAAATCTGATATCATAGGAATATTCCTTAGACTGTATCATATTGATGTGCTGAATATTGTGCACTAATTTCAAAAACACCTTGGATTTGCATGAAAATACTAGTTTAAAATGTAACATTATATTCTTCCATTTTATATCAACTTCGGGATACTACAAGTGATGAGAAATAATAATTTCGTCAATTAATTTTTCATAGGTACAGGGTGATTCACCATAAATGTCCCCCCCTCTAGCTCAGTTATTTTTGAACTGATTTCAAGATTTGAAATATCATCTCGAATGATTTTCGATAAAGTTTTTTCCGCTACATCAGAAAATACAGGGTGCTGGGAACAAACGATCTACAGGGTACTATTTGATTTTTTTATATGGAACACCCTATTTTTCATTGTATTTTTAGATTCTCCCTAAAGAGCTGATTTGGTCGATGTATCACACTTGGAGTCTAGCGGGAATGATTACAGAGATATAGGGTGTTCAAAATCGAGATTTTTCAACTTTAGGATTCTTTTGAGACAAAACTATTCATCATCGGTCAAAACACTTTCATGTCCATATCTCAACTTTTGATTCACTATCTACTGACATTTTTTAATAATTGGAACAGATACAGGGTGATCAGATTTCTGAATCTTGAATCACCCTGTAAATGTTTCAATTAAATGTCAGTAGACAGTAAATCGAAAGTTAAGATTGAAACATAGAAGCCGTTTCGACCAATAATGAATAGTTTCGAGACAAAGTAATGGGCTTATATCACAAAAAAAATTTATTTCATAATTCGATAGAACTCACCCAAACTAGCTCACCATCGCAAACCGTTTCTTACTGTGAGCTCCCTACGTTTTATAAAAAATCATTGAAATCCCCGATTTTTCGGACCTCTGAAAACGAGGCGATGATGTGACGTCAACAACCCTAATACTGAAACAAGACTATTTCAGACAGAGATGAATGATACCTGATTTCTGACAGAGTGAATTAGCGCGAGATCACAGTTGAAAGAATTAGTATATCAGTTGCCTCAGTCTCCGTCGGGCTCTTGGCATTTTCTTTTAACTATGGCGAGATGAGGTTTCTACGTCATAAGAGGGTCCGTTTTCAGAAGGTACTATTATTTATGTCCAAAAATAAAACATTCCAGTTAATTTTTCGATCGAATTATGTCGTCAATCATTATTTATGTATAAAAGGATCATAATAAACATGGTTTGAGTTTAAAGTTCTACTAAGGTGTACATACACGCCCATACTTGACTTGAAAAATCTCGATGTTGAACACCCTATATCTCTGTAATTATTAACGCTAGACCCCAAGTGTCATGCATTGATGAAATCAGCTCTTCAGGAAGAATCTAAAAATACAATGAAATACAGGGTGTTCCATTTGAAAAAACCAAGTAGTACTCTGTAGATCATTTGTTCCGAGCATCCTGTATTTTTTGATGCAACGGGATGAAAATTCTGAAAAATCATTTTAGATTATTTTTTAAATTTTTGAATCGGTTCAAAAATAAGTGGGCTAGAGGGGGGACATTTATGGTGAATCACTCTATACAGGGCCTTCACGTATATTTTGAACCCCCACTTAACTTTTTCAAGTATTGTTGAATTTTTTTTTTCAAGGAACGTTCTTTTATATCTTTTCCTGTAGATTTCAAATATGCCAACAGAAAAACAGTTGAACATCTCGAATAATACTTATATAGGCAACATTTATAATTTTTTCAATAGGACACCCTGTATTATATTGCATTTCTAGATTCTCCCTGGAGAGCTGATTTCATCGATCTATTACAGTTGGGGTCTAGCTGAAATGATTACAGATATATAGGGTGTGAAAAATTGAGATTTTTCCAACTTTTGGAATTTTTTGTCAAAATCTTATTCTGTCGAAACTTCATGAAAAAAATTTCCGATTTCATACGCTCGTCATAAAAACCCAATTCAACTGTTTATAAATCACTTGTGTGGGATTTTCGGTGTAACTTCAATTTCTAAAATCGTCATTTTCAAAAATCAAATACTGGCTGTTTTCTTGATTTTTTTTTAAACACCTATTTTCGTCAAAAAAGGCAGGCTCTGAGAATTTGAAATGCACCTCACAAGGTCCTCTAGATTGGGCTGAAGTATGTCTGTTTCATGACGAAGCACTCTGCATAATTGATATAAATATAATAATTATTTGTACATAATTTTAACGGCTCTGTGGAAAATCGGGCGCAGTTGAAAGAGAGTTTTATTTTCTGCGCTCGTTTTCAGCCATTTTTACGAGTGAGCTTGGATGGCAAGGAAAATTGAATATCCGGTGATTTAACTGTAAGTATGAATTCTTGAAGAGTTTGAAATTAATTTAATGGAATGAAGGAAATTGGAGTTAGATGTACGCACTGCCTCATACTAATATATAAAACTAAAAGTCGTGTGTGGATTTTTTGTAAACAAAAATATATATTATTATGGCAATAAAATATGATAGTGAAATTTTATCTATTATTATTATTTTTTTGTTGAAAAAGCTGTGTTATAATTAGGAATTGGATTATCATAACAATAGGTTTTGCTCATTGTATGCTTAAAATGTCGATATAAGAATATTTATTTACTTCCAATCAATATTTTTCTTTATAACACTAACTAGTATCTAAGTATGAATTAATTTTAAAATATAATTTTTCTAGTCTATCGATTTTTTATTATCTGAATATTTATCCATTTTAGATATTATTTAATAATCATATATATAACTTGTTAAAAGGAACTTGAAATGCCGAAAATCATGAGTTGGACAGAGAAAAATGAAACCTAATAAAATAATCTTGAATATTTCCGAAATTTGTGTAATATTCCTAGAGCATTATGTATTCCCAGCAAATGGAAATCAGAATTATGAGAGTAGAACTGAAAACCAGAAATTAATGATTCTGGAAAAAGTAAACCTCAACATTTTCCAGCTGAACGAATAAAAATCCAAAATACTAAAAGGAAAAAAAAATGTTATTGGTTAATACCTATGATGGAATACAACAAAAAAGTGTGATTATATCTTGTCTCTGTTCTGTTCAAATTGATTTAACGCTTCTAAATATTTCATTGTCCAACTCTTGATTTACTTGGAATTGTAAGTTTTATTTTTCGAGTTTTTAATTGTGACTGTGTTCCTGATTGCAGAGTAGATTGATAAAAAAAGTCACTTCACAATCTGATGTCGCATGTGGAATAAAGTGCCTTATTGTTAGTTTGCAGTATTGTACATGTGTGTAAATATATATTTTTGAAAGAAGATTTTTCTTGGACAAGTCAATGTTCCTCAGCAGCATGGAAAAAAAATACTAAGATGAACAAAAGTTCAAGGGTATTTTTACAAATCATCTAAATATTATTGAAGAACATAGCAACGTCGACAATCTTGGAAATCGAAGAACCCTTATGGTAGATTGATTAGGAATTAATAATTGGTTTTCATACCTAGCTGGTATACTTACAAAATTGACATTCAGTATGCAATCCTCTGACGAGTATTAGAAAATCTGGAATACCCTTGATGTCACTTCGAAACATAGGATACCTATTTGCTGTAATTTTCATCTGCATGATATTTTTATTCTTATCGTATCACCAAAACAAAATAGAATTCCCTGACTTTCAAATTTCCCGGAAAATTGTCGATGGTCAACTTGACACATATTGACGCGTGCGCATTGCACATATTCAACGCAGTGTTGCCAGATGAGTTTCTTTTCAGTGGATAAAGGTGAGTGAATGATCGATGGAAACAGCGAAGTACAAAATCGGAGCAATACAAAAAAACTGAAAGAGTTAGACTTGAAACAACAGCGATGAATCAGCTGAATGTAAATCAGCTTGAGATCATAATCCTAATGACGACCTGACACGTTGCGATAGGTCTGTAAATTGTGGCCATTTGGGTAACCCTCTTCAATAGTTTATAAATAGCACGAGAATACGAGAATCAAGATCGCAGTATGAAACCAGAACTGTTGAGGATTTAAATTTTCAGGTCAACAAGTGGACGTTTCAGGTTTCAACTTTCAATTTGCAATCGTGATTCTTAGATGTCATCAAAATGTGTAGTGATGTTGGGACTTAATATACGACGTATTATCGTCTGATTAATTGTATTTTTTTTGTGAACATGCCAATATGCTTCGATTAGTTGTTTTTTTTTATTCATTCAAAATCTGAAAAGATCGTACATAACAAGTCATCTGGCAACACTGAGTTGACGGAATTTTTGACGTTTATTGTAGGGGCGTACAAATCGTCAACAAAACATTGACGCCATTTTGTGTATTCAGTTATTCCTTATTCCAAAAACGGTATCGAATAATACAAGAAACATCCAGATAATTTTTCGAAGAGTTTAGATAGTAATGTTTCTGTGATAATTACGGTGTGCTGTTAAAAACGATATTTTTTTTGTGATATGCTTCCGACATTGGTCTTTGTGTAATCTACAAGTATCTAGGACATAGTTGAAGGAAAACATTTAATTTTAAAGATGAGCTCGAAGGATGATGAGTACGACTATTTATTTAAGGGTGAGTTTGCTTCCAGTAGTTGTTACATTAAAAAAATAGTATTTATTTTACTTGATTCTTGAATTTGAAGAAAAATTTGACATGTCAGCAGCAGAGGTCAAGAATTGAATGAAAATTAAAAATAAATTTGTGTACATGTTCCTACCATTCAATACATACAATGAAAATCAATATTTGATGGATTTGACTATGTTAACTATATAGAATGTTATTAATAGTTTACTGACAATGAGTTTTTTTCCTGATGATTCACAAATAATATAATTATGCTAATGATGTGTCAAATGATCACTGATAACATGTATATACCTAGGTATTCTACACAATTTAAATACTTTTTATGTTTTAGTTGTTCTTATTGGTGATTCTGGTGTAGGAAAAAGTAATTTGCTATCTAGATTTACTAGGAATGAATTCAATTTGGAATCAAAATCTACAATAGGTGTTGAATTTGCTACAAGAAGTATACAGGTAAGATAATTCATCAATCTTCAATATGCACATCATCATCAAACCAAGGACAGAATAATTATTGAATATCTGATTATCAGTATCAGTTTGAAAACCATTTCACTTGTAGGTAGGTAGGTCCCATTTCTCATTTTATATTCAGGTATCACAACATTTTGTTCAATTGCAGAGGTTCCCTCTATTTTTGTGCTATCTACAGACAGGTATATTGTGGTTAAAAGTAGATAGATATTATATGGTTATCCTGAGTGATGAACTAACAAATTAACAGCTTATTTTTAGCTTCAACCCAACCTTTTATAAATAGCAATCATTCTTTTCCCAAATGGAAAAGTTTCATCAATTAGATGGAAATTCATTATTCTTTATGCTTCCTATGATGTCATCATGTACCTAGGTACAGTTATATTTCAGAAAAAAGTATAATGAAATGAATCTCATTTTCCTTTGATTACATTCAATGGAGCCAGCACACTATTTATAAATCATTACTATCTATTCAATAATTCAATCATCTGTTTTCATTCAATTGAACAAATTAGTTTCAATTTTGAATTGTTCCATCACCTATGTTATTAATTTCAGTAGCTTCACTAAATGAAATCATGGTATTTATGTTATTGACTTTTAGCAGCAAGCTTGATGTTCTGAAATGGAACAATTTAATGCCATTTAATGACTTTTAACATTCAATTTGTTGGACAAACTTCACAAATATTTCTTTATTCAATTGCCTACATATGGATTCCCATCAAGTAATCCACAGTTGACGAAAAAATGAATTGAATTTGTTTGGTATTTGGAACTGATATGATGATTTTTATTAACAAATTCAATGAGGATTATGTATTGAGTTAAAATGGTCTACTAGTTCATATCATTCTTCTGCCAGTACCAATTATTAATTATATGTGTCTGAACAAAAGAAAAAAACAATAGGAAATGAAAACAAAAAATGTAGGTCATGACAAAATTGATCTAGTTTCACAGAGAGAAATATTTTAGTTGAGATTATACATACAATTTTGTTTGACATTTAATATTGTCATTGTCTGCAATATATTTGAATAATATTGATTTCAATCTGTATTGGTGTTTGCCACATCTTTGGAACACTATAGGAAAGGCGGTGACCTTCCACTTTTCTAGGTATAGATACTTCCATGGGAAACGTTCTTCAGCTATTGTGTCATCAATCTCGAGATTTATCTTTATCAAATCTCTATCAAATTTTTCTAAGATCTCTATCAAAACTCGTGATGAATCTTCAAAATTTTTTGCATAGAAAATACCATGCCTATCTTCTCTTCCTTTCCACCCAGGGATTTCATTTTGTGGGATCATGAAATTTATGGATTATTAATTATAATTGCAGCATGTTGAATTTCAATTGTGAATTGACACATAATGACTTGTAAAGCTATGGATAATGAGCATTCTGATTCGCAATTGACGCATAATGAATTACAATCGACGCTCAATTGACGCGTTACAATAATTGACGCTCAATAAATGACAATAATTGATGCTTAATGAATTACAATAATTGACGATCAATGACTTGAATGCTAACGCATTAAAATGAGAAAACATATGTAAAAATTTCGATGACGGTGATCGGCGCCATATTGATCTACATCAGAAATTTCAATTGATGCATAATAAATTGATGATAAATTATCATTGACTCAATCAATTACAACAATTGATGCTCAATGCTCTACAATTGACACTTATTACCTATTACATAATGACCGGAAAATTTCGCATAATGAGCATTCTGAATCATAATTCACGCATAGTGAACTACAATGTTGAAGCTTAATGAAATTGGCGCCGTGTCCGAGTTTGACTATGCGCTGAAACTCACTCGATAGGCTGAGCATTTTTCTTCGAAATGTGTGATTCATGGTTGTAATCCTGGCAGCACCTCGATGCCCTAGAGAAGGTTCGGATTCCACTACAAGCTGTAGGTCCCGCTCTTCCCAACCCCGCACAAGTTTCGACTTCTGGGCATTTGGTTCCCAGCTTTGATGTGGCGATTTACAAAATTGAAATACAATTAACGCATAATGACGTGAACTTGACGCATAATGAATTACATTCGTTGGTGCTTAAAAATTACAATCGACGCTTAATGACTAGCAATTGACGCTTAATGATTTGAAATTGACGCTTAATGACTTGAATATGACGCTTATTGAGCATTATAAATCACCATTGACGCTTAAAAAATCACAATTGTCGCCCAAGGATTCGAAATTGGCGCCTAATTACTGTAAATTGACGCTTATTGACGCTTAGAAATTGAAATTGCCGCTTAATGCCTAGAAATTGACGCTTAATGACTTGGAATTGAAGCTTGATAACAGGAAATTAGCGCTTATTGAGTATTACAAATCAGAATTGACGCTTAAGAAATTTGAATTGCCTCTTAATGAGTTGAAATTGACGCTTAATGACTTGAGATTGACGCTAATTGACTTGAATTTGACGCTCAATGGCTGGAAATTAATGCTTATTGAGCATTTTGAGTCGCAATTGGCGCTTATATAATTACAATTAACGTTTAATGACTTGAAAGTGTCGGTTAATGGGCATTCTAAATTACATTTTACTGTTAATGAAATTCAACCATTATCAGAATTGACGCTTAATGGCTGGAAATTATCGCTTATTGGGTATTATAAATCACAATTGGCACTTAAGAAATTAAAATTGTCGCTTAATGAGATGACATTGACGCTTAATGAGTTGAAATTGACGCTTAATGACTGGAATTGATGCTGATTGAGCATTAAAAATTACAATTGAGGCTTGAAAAAATACAATTGTCCTATGACTCGAAAATGACGCATAATTACAGAACATTAATGCTTATTGAGCATTATAAATCACAATTGACGCTTAAAAATTGAAATTGTCGCTTAATGCCTAGAAATTGACGCTTGATGATTGGAAATTGACGCGTATTGAGCATTATAAATCTCGATTGTGCTTAAAAAATAAAATTCTTGTTCTATTATTAAACATTGACTTTAATGACTTGAAATGGACGCTCAAGAAATTGGAATTGCCGCGTAATGAGTTGAAATTAATTCTTAATGACATGAGATTGACGCCCAATGAATCGAAATTGACGCTCAATGACTGAAAATTAACGCTTAATCATTTGAAATTGACGATCATTGACTTGAATATAACGCTCATTGAGCATTATAAACCACAATTGACGCTCAAAAACTACAATTGTTGCCCAATGACTTGAAATTGACGCTCAATTACTGAAAATCAACGCTCATTGTGCATTATAAATCACAATTGCCGCCTAAAAATTGTAATTTTTGCTTAATATGGAATTGCTGCTTATGCCTAGAAATTGACGCTTGATGACCGGAAATTAACGCGTATTGAGCATTATAAATCTCGATTGACGCTGAAAAAAATAGAATTTCTGTTCAATGACTATACATTGACGCTAAATGACTGGACATTAACGCTTAATGAGTTGAAATTGACGCCTAATGACTTGAGGTTGACGCTCAAAGACTTGAAATTGACGTTCAATGACAGGAAATTAACGCTTATTGAGCATTATAAATCTATTGACGCTTATATAATTACTATTAACGCTTAATGACTGCAAATTAACGCCTTATGCCTGTAAATTAACGCTTATAGAGCTTTTTAAATGTCAATTGCCGCTTATATTATTACAATGAACGCTCAATGACTGGAAATTAACGTTTTATAGAGCATTAATAATCTGAATTGACGCTTATATAATTACAACCAACGCTTAATGACTTTAATGGGCATTCTGAATTACAATTTACTGTTAATGAAATTCAATAATTATCTACGCCTAACAATTGACGCATTAAGGACAAAAAATCTCTAAAATACGACGGCGATGATACAGGTGGACGGTAAAACGATCAAGGCCCAAATATGGGACACGGCCGGCCAGGAGCGCTATCGGGCCATCACGGCCGCCTACTATCGCGGTGCGGTCGGCGCCCTATTGGTCTACGACATCGCCAAGCATCTCACCTACGAGAACGTGGAACGGTGGCTGCGCGAGCTCAGAGATCATGCGGATCAGAACATCGTCATCATGCTGGTGGGCAACAAGTCTGATCTGAGGCATCTGAGAGCAGTGCTGACCGAGGAGGCGAAGGCGTTCGCCGAACGGAACGGCTTGTCTTTTATCGAGACGAGTGCGTTGGATTCGACTAATGTTGATATGGCTTTCCAGAATATACTCACTGGTGAGTAATATGTGATACTTTCGATAGATTTTTTCTTTCCTGTGAATGTTTGTTGCACAATACATGAAGATGCTTTTCACATACTTTGCACACATCTTTTCTAGGATCGAATTGAATTTATTTTTATAAAAATTCTATTGAGTTTTTTTCAAAAAAGATAGAGGGGAGTTCACATTAATAAAACTAGCCCTGTACATTCAAATTTCAAAATATATCTAGATTTAACTGATTATCTATAGAGAATCAGAAAATATCTATACACACTAAATATGTAGTGCTAAAAGTAGGTACTTTTTGCATGATCCTAGAAAAATTATTTCATCACTTGAAATTACTAGCCCAATGTTTTATGTTCAGAAATCCACAATGTTGCAAAAAATCCTACTCTTACTCTGAATTGTTTCAAAACGTATGTTATACAGGGTGTTTCAGAGAACAAAATATGGAAAAAGTTCATATGAACATGAGTCCGTTTTTTTCGTTTTTTGAGATACACGGTGTTGTTGGTTTTTTCAAGTGAGTTTTTTATTGGTAGCTCAAAAACTCCGATTTTGATTAATAGTTTCATAATCTATTCAAACAATTATCCCCTAATAGTTTTGTATGGTATTCAGTTAAACCCACTAAAAATACAAAACTACAAAACGATTTCTTGACACGTCTCTGAACTCAATGAGGAGAAATAAATGTGTCGAGGAATTACCAAAAAAATTATCACACTGTGTTTATTTGGGAAAATGAAACATTAAATAAAATGTTCTAAAAAATGCATACTATAGTTTTCCGAATTTACAGAGTACGTATTGGAAATAAATGTGACTTTTTGTTGACGTGTTTTCGAAGCTATTAGTCATTTTGTCGCATGCGTGAATCTTGTGACGATTGCGATAAATAAGTGGAGGGGTGGGGATAGTCTATACCGACACTATTCCTACTATCATGGATGTTCAAAATATATTCCAGGTTGTAATTCGAGTATATGAAACGACCCGATCTTGCGTGGCACGCTGGTTTTTCCCTTGGGTCAAACCTAATTGGTCCAGTAGATGTTTCATAATTCTTTGAATAAACCGTGAAAATATCATTGATATCGTGGAAATGTGACTTTTTGTTGACGTTTTTTGGAAACTGTTAATAATAGAGCAGTTCAGCTACCGTTGAGAGAGAAAAAAATTTCTTCCCATCTGTCCTTGTCTTCAGTGTTCCAACATGAAATAATGAAAATCTTATGTTGCCAACACTGGAAATGAGAAGAAATGGAGAAGAAGACCGTTCTAACCTTCTTTTATATCGAGGTTAATATGATATTCTTCTCCATTTTTTTCCATTTCCAATGATGCCAACATAATATTTTCATTATTTTATGTTGGAACACTGAAGACAAGGACAGATGGGGAAGACATTTTGTTCTCTCTCAACGGTAGCTGAACTGCTCTATTTTGTCGAATACGTGAATCTTGTGACGATTGCGACAAATAGGTGGAGGGGTGGGGATAGTCTATACCGACACTATTCCTACTATCATGGATTCGAGTATATGAAACTGCCCGATTTTGTTCACTTAATTGACTATGGATTTGACGATTCCAATACGTGATATACCAAAAAAATAACTTTTAGAAAAGTGGAATTTTGATTGGGAAGTTACCAGATTTCAGTTATGATCTCACTGAGGATTATTTTACAATTTTTATATTATATCGTGAACCAAGCCCTGTCAGTTGGAAATCGATCACAATACAAGTCATAAAGTAAGATGATTATCCTTCAATCCACTTTTCCTTAAATCCAAATTCCAAAAAAAATGTTATCAACTTCATAGCATGATTTTCACTTATACTTTTCTATATTTGAACCAAGTGAGATGATTTGAAGCAGTGAATATGATTGTCATTTTTTTTTTTCAGAGATCTATAGAATCGTGTCGCAAAAACAAATAAGAGATCCGCCAGAGGGCGATACGATCCGACCACAGAACGTAGAACCAATAGACGTGAAACCGACAATGAATTCCGATGGGGTGCGAAAACAGTGTTGTCAGTAGTAATTGTTAGCAATATTATCTATGTTACACTAAAATAAAAACACCGGTAAGAATTCCCACGATGCATTCGCATTTTTGGATAATAGGCTAGTGAACTGATATTGCTTCACAACACTGTGTCATTACAGACCTCAAAAGATTTTTCATGCCTCTCAGATGTTTTTTTTTTATGAAAGTTGTTTGAATTACGTTCTGATTCTAATAGACTATGCTATTCCGCCCAATATCGGTATGACGTAACCACGTGCTTTGTGACCAAACTTTCGGTAAATATCTGTTGGAAACTCGGCAACTGTGCTCTGTGCTTTCTAACTATATTATGCAAGATGTGCAGCAATGTTGCCACGTTACAAATTGAATCTCCTTTGGTTTGAATTAATAATGCTTTGTTCTCGTTCACAGTAAGAATGAAGAAACTAGGATTCTGTCTGTTCATTCGTGACGTCACTAGTTGTTAGTGGCTAATTCCTACCGTTTGAATTAAACTGTTACTTCATCTGTGATTTTGAGATCTTGAAACCGTTTTTAAAAATAAAATAATTGAAAGAAAATTCCGTCATTAGCTCAATATTCTAATTTGTTCTTCATTGGTGAAATGCTCATCAGATTTTGATTTTTTTTTCACAACTAGAAAATGTGAAAATCTATTGGAGCCAGCCAGAATATCCAAAGATGCAGATGGAATTTTCCGATTATGACTCTTCTGAATGATATTTTTTAGATTTCAGCAAGTAGTGCCGCATATTCCTATTCACTTTGGCTACAGTTTTGTTTGCTGTTTCATTTGGAATATCCTAAGAACAATAATATTATGATTGCTGAAATTTGGTTGAACTGAGCAGGATAAAACTGTTTTGCCGCGCACTCAGTATGCTATCCCATTTGAGTTTGTAAATTTTCGGTACTTTTATTTTGAATATATAGATCATATTATATAAGAAAGTAATGAGAAGATACATTTTTATTTATATTTAATTATGTCTTTCAAGGGCATATTATGTCTTATCAGGTGCATATTTATTGTTAACTTATGTTTAATTTCTGTGTATTTTTGGAGGTATTAAACATTAATATAAATTCAATATTTTGTTTCCTTGTCAAGGTTACTGCAATGAATAATAAATTGATGAATTGTGAATGTGCTCCAGATTGAAAGTTATAATACTAATATGAACTTTATGAAAATTACTCACTTGTTGAATTGAAATATCATAGCACACCAGATTTGACAAAATAATAACCGGTTTCCAAAAATGGTGTGGAATGATTTTTTTTTGTAGTTGAATTGTTTTAAACTTGTAGCCTGATACATGAAAAATGTAGATAAATAATATTCTGTTATAGTACACTATTATTATAATACTAATGGTTATTTTATTTGGACAAATAAAATAATTGTTGTATAAGCTTCTTTATGAAAATTTATTATAATTTACTTTTTAAATAAATTTTATGTACCTATCTAAATTTATAATTTGTTTCATAATCAAACATTGATTAGTACCCTCATTGAAGTTTTTTCCTTTCCAGGTCATAGTTATTTGTTTAAATCTTCTCTTCTATCATATTTTTTTTTTCTCCAAATTCGTTCCATTTCCAGACCAAGTCCAAATAATCCATCATATTCTGTTCACCCAAAATCATTGATTTTGATTACCAATTTGATTCAAATTAATACTTTTGGTCTCTACTTCGCCCTGTACAATTTATGGTACGTTGTTCTGGGACGCCTTGTATAAGATTTTGATTTTTTTTTTCCAGTGAAAGTGCACCTTTTATGCCTGTTAAGTCTCATTAAAGAGTCACTTTTAATGTCATTTGGAGAAAAATGCATTCTTTTACAGTAATCAACATATACAGGGTGATCCACGGTGGATGGCCTATTAGAAGTATCTGGAGAACGAAAAGACAGAATATTTTGAAAATTGGGATGCTTTGATAATTGAACATTCTCTATCCGTCTAAAATATTTTCATCGATACAGTGTTGCCACTTCTATGAGAAACAACTAGCAACTTCGTTAGTTCAAATAGAACACCCTGTATTTTATTGCATTTTTAGATTCTTCCTGAATAGCTGATTTCATCAATGCATCACACTTGGGGGTCTAGCAGGAATGATTACAGAGATATAGGGTGTTGAAAATCGAGATTTTTCAATTTTATTATTGATCAAAACGGCTCACATGTCCCTATCTCAGCTCTTTACGAAGAATCTAAAAATGCAATAAAATACAGGGTGTTCCATTTGAAATAACAAAGTTGCTAGTTGTTTCTGATAGAAGTGGCAACACTGTATGGATAAAAATATTTCAGACGGATAGAGAATGTTCAATTATCAAAGCATCCCAATTTTCAGAATGTTCTGTCTTTTCGTTCTCCAGATACTTCTGATAGGCCATCCACCGTGGATCACCCTGTATATAAAGGGCAATTATTTGAACCGCTGTCTGCTAAATATGGAGAAAACAATTAGTGAGCTGTAACTACTGGTCTGCTCTATAGCTCACTTGAGTGTATAACCACCAGATGATGTTACCGTATCGGACGAAATGATCTTCACTTTTTTCTAGAAAATGTTCGAAATTTGTGGTTATGTAAGTTGTCAGTGTCAAGAGCTGTCGTGCCATCATGACTCGTATTGTATTTCCCCCTTAAAAGATCTTTCTTTTTCAATTTTCGTTCTATAATATTCCTTTCGTTTATAGTTTTCTATTATTGTGCTCCCAGTATTATAGTAGTTCATTCTGATTGATAATTTGTTTTAAACTCTGTCTCTCAATTATTGTGTGTACCAGAACTTGTGAAACCGTCTCCATTCATGGATTTCCAAGATAATATCAAATCCCTGATCAAAAGCTGATAATCGATACTACTGATTCTACCTCTCATTTAAATTAGGTGTTGAACGTTACAAAATTGGGGACTATGGTAGTGTAGCAACCATTTTGGGAAGGAATGATTTTTTTAATTTTTGAGTGACTGAGTGACCGTGACTGAACTCAAACTCAGTGAACAAACTACGCCGCCGGCCGAGAACACCGCTCAACTCTAACAATTTTCAAGGTTATGTAGGTAAGTGTTTCCTCGAGTTGACCGTATGGCGGCACTACTGTATCGGCCACAGAAACCTGTAGGTGATTTTCAGCAGACCAGGTCCCCGATTCTCGACTTCAGTTGAATTCATTCCAACTGGTAAAGCTTCCCATGTTCGTATTCCCGTGGGAATCTTGAAGAGTATTCTCGACCACGATAGGAATGCTCTTTCCCAGTGGAATTGAAAACACGGTATGTCGGTGATAGTTTATGTGCTCAACCAATCAGATATTGATATTTTCCAGGGATATTCTTGTTTTGATTTACAACGATCCAAAGATTTCAGTTGGTAGTGGTGTATGTATGCATGGTGAAATTTAGGTTGTGTATAAAAAAATTGCAAAAGAAAGAATTGAGGGTTTCTGGAAAAATTTTTCATAAGGAAACAATTATTCTCTAATCATGGAAGAGAAAAAAATGTCTGAATGTCTATTTTGTACCTGAATAAATAGTTATTTAATTCTTTTTGAATGTCCTATCAGAACTCTAGTTAGTTTAGTTATTTACTATCAAAAATAAGTCAGATACAAAAATATACCATACATGTAGAAAGCTGCTCATCTATGAATTGGTTCAGTGTGTTTGAAAATCGTATATGATGAGATCTAAATTCAAGAACAGCACAAGTATCAATTCATTTATTTCGATAAAAAATAATCAAACAAAATAATTCCAAATTATTTGACGTTGCGACCTCCTTCTTGTAAATCAGCATTTTCATGTTCAACAATGAATCCATTATACAGTTCCATACTTACTTTAATTTTTTTGGCAGTGCTGATTCTCTGGTAGGACGTGCTAAAAAATGATCCAAGTTTTGGATGAGATTCAGTGCTAAAGGTTGTTAATCTGAATAACTTAAAAAAATGTTTATCTGATAACAGATAAAATGGATCTCCATTTTGCAAATTTGTCCAAAAATCTCTTCCTTGGTTTCCGGCCATTTCTTCAACCATTTCAACAATGTCTTGTTGAACCAGAAGTACCAGCTCATCATGTTTAGATAGTTTTTATATTATTCCTAGTACAATGATAATTCCAACCTCAAACTGGACTAAAAACCCATAGGAGTTTGAATTCGTGTGGAGAAACACTAAGTGAATATATACCACTGAAATTCATAGGACCACTTTCCAGCGACAAATGTCGAGAATACTAAATCATAATTCCTATGAGAATTTGATCACTTTTCCCATGGGAAAAACGTCGAGAATCGAGCTCCTGATACTACAGCTCACTAGATTTTTTCTCTATATTTAGCAGACAATGATTTGAACAACTTGAAGAATTATCATTTCAATGATATTTTCCTGTTTCCAACACATGAAGGGTGTTTTAAAAATGGGATAAAGAGCATTCAATTTGTTATTGAAAATGGTTCATTGAAAGTTAGGTAACTGAATTTTTAAACTTGTTAATCTACTTGAGTACTTGAAAATTCTACACTTTTATTATTACTACTATTGAAATCGAAAATTACCAAACTGCAAATAAGTTGAGGTAAAATTTCAACAATCCAATATGCAAAATAGTATCAATAAACTGAAATGAAAATTTCGTCTTGTATTATGATAGGCCAATTTAGTCTTTCTTTCAATAAAATGAGTATTGAACACACAAACCATCATAATTCAATTTATTCAGTACAAAATATAAACAAATGCATTCACAAAATGTAATGAGTCAGTCTCTCAAAATTCTCAGAAGCAATAAAAAATCAAATGACAAATAATCAAAGAACCCTAACATGTGCTAACTCTTATAAATCGTTTGTAAGTACAACACCACATCCTTGTTCAGCGGAAACTCGCCCAAAAACTTCCCGAAAGTCCTACAAATATTGAACAAACTCCTCTTCAACGCCCCACTGATGGCCCCCTTCATCTTGTAGTTGAAATCGTCGTACCCCGCGATCTTCTTAGTAAGCGCCGGGACCTTGTTGAGCTTATCCAAATTCTGCTTCAAATGCACCAAGGCCGTTATTATCGCTGGTAAATCCTTCTGCACTATCCCAAAACGGTCTTCCTCAATGGAAGCACAAACCAAATCAGATATCCCTTGGCTGCTCCAGATGATGATGAGTCCATTGGCCAAGCATTTTTGTATATTAGCTTGCGGCAACTCCCCGAATATGAAGTTGATCCCAAAGACAACTTTGAGGACTTCCAAGGTGTTGTTGATTTTCTGGGTGAGCTTGTGGAATAGTGTGTTTGGCACAGAAAGACCTGCCAAAGGGGCATGAGTGACATCAACAATATCAGCAATGCCCCTGTCAGACATCAAAGACATGTTGCGTAAATTCCTGAACCTCCCAGGTGATTGGATAGGGCTCTGATAAGTTACTGGTGCAGGTGTTTTGATGGTCTCAGCAGTGTCAGTGGATTTACTGAGAAGTTCAGAATATGCAGTCAATAGTTTGAGTAGGTTTTCTGTCAAGATGTTCCAGTTATGAGGATGTCCTCCAGGATGTGACAGAGTGAACAGTACCTGTCTCCTGTGTTTTGACCATCTGGACAGGGTGGACAGATCCAAACAAGCTAGATTTTGGATGATGGGTAGATCTGATATCATTATGCCCTCTTGCAAACTCAATGAGTCTGGTGATATTTTGCACAAGGGGAACTCAATGGGTTCAGTCAGGAAGAGATTGAAGAAAAACCTCATGAGTTTCATGTTGAAATGAAACAAAGCTCCAAACATCCAGAGGTAGAAGTAAATCATGGGACTGTCACTGCTTTCTTCTTGGCCTAGTCCAAAAAATGAACAGAAACTTTCACTGAGACTGTTTCCCCATGCTCTGTATAAACATAAAAAATAAACCATAGGCCAAATGGAAGATGAGAAGCTTTCTTTTAGGAAAGGTAGTAATTGTGACTTGAACTGAAGCAGCTTCTTTTGCTGGATAACAGGAAATGATAAATGCTTCTCTGATAAGTATATTTTCATGAAATAGTAAAATCCAGTCCAGAATCCACTACAAATAAGGAAAAAACTGCCTTCATTTAAGCAATAACTTTGCCCTTTACAGTTCCTAGTCAGGTATTGGTATTGAGTTCCACCAAGTGATGAAAACAACCACACAGAAGTAGTTCCAACAATGATATTCAATGCCAATAGAACTATGTTGTGGACTGAGAAAATTGAGATGAATTTCTGGAACCTAGTTGAACAATAACTGGATTTGAATACATAATCCTTTGCACAAATTATACTCTGTGCGAATACTAGTGTTATGAAAGGTATCACAAACAGCCATGTGGTCAATGATGTAAAAGTCTTCAAGGTAGACAGAACCCAGTCAATTGGATGTAGAATATTGATGTTAGATAAAAGTACATACACCAGTAGTAATGCTAGTTGAGAAAACACACTGCTCACTATTGAATAATACAGTTTCCTTAGAAGGAGGTCCTTGGATGTAAATGAACTTGAGGTAATAACATTGGAATTCATTTTTGTCCGCTAGTAAACTGTTCTAATTTTCACAATAACTGAAGATGTACGTGAAAGTTTACTGTTTGAATAATGGCATTTATGGCTACCATCACTGAAGAGTAATAATCTTAAAAATTCAAAATAACGAACTTTTGAATCGCCGAAAGTGGAAAAATTAATTCGCGATAATATTTTGAAATTTGACTTTGACATGAAATCTTCTGATTTCTGATTCATTGGCTTCTTGTTCACTTGTCGAGTAAGGACATCCTCTTGAGGACATAGCCACGTTGTGTTTTGTGTCTATAAAGTCTTATTTCTTTTTTCTTGGAAGAGTGCATCTGCTGGACAGAATCTTAAAGACTCATAGACATCATATATCTACTACTTTCACTTTTTTCCTGTGCAGTCTGCCAAAGTGGACACTGCTATAAATCTATATTTTGTGTTGGTACCTTGATATGGCACGAAAAATCTCGTCTCGTCTTTTTATTTTTTTAACCTAAACGTCTGTGAATAACTGGCTGTATGTCCTTTGACAAGAGGCCACAAAACTAGAAGAAGAAGAACGTCTGTGACCTTAACCTCATTCTTTTAGTTTACATGTGTGTACATGGTGTGTACACAACACAGTACAAATCATTTTCAAAATATATCGTACATTCTTCATTGACGATTGATGATGGATGATGGAAACTATATCCCAGTGTGAAAATGCCAGGAAGTAGAATATTCCTCCCTTGCCGGGGGCTGGGCTACGTCAGTAACCACATACCCATACAAGTGAGGTACATCAAAAGCAGACAAGAAAATCTTATCATAACATGCGTGGGGAAATCGTTTCACACTTACGGAATATCCCATTTCGGGCTCCTGAGCGTGAGTGGCTTGCATCCCTCAGATATAACCAGCATGACTGCCGATGCCTACCATGTTTACACTGCTTGTGAGAGCAATATTTATGCCTGGCGAAGAGGCACAGAATTGAAACACACCTACAAGGGCCACACAAAGAATGTACACCTTATGATACCATTTGGAGCCCATCTGATATCTGTAGATGAAGGCAGTAATGTGAAAGTGTGGGATATAAAAGCAGAAGTTGTTCATCTGGAACTGACATTTAGTGCTAAAACTTTCAACATTAGTGCCTTGATGCACCCAAGTACCTACATAAATAAAATACTGTTTGCTAGTGACAAGGGGGAGATGCAATTATGGAACATTAACAGTGGAAAGTTGGTTTACTCTTTCAAGGGCTGGAATGCAGGGATTTCTTGTATAGAACAGGCCCCAGCCATTGATGTGATTGCAATAGGCTTGACTACTGGTAGAATAATATTGCACAACATCAAGTTTGATGAGACTGTCATGGAATTCATGCAGGACTGGGGCCTTGTAACTTCAATTTCCTTCAGGTCAGATGGACATCCTATAATGGCTACTGGGAGTGTTCTGGGGCACATTGTCTTTTGGGATTTGGATGAGAGAAAAGTTTCAAGTCAACTACTGGCTGCTCATGATAGTGCTGTAACAGGAATGGTTTGTTTGTCAAATGAGCCACTTATCCTTACTTCTTCTCCAGACAATACTTTGAAATTATGGATTTTTGATATGACTGATGGTGGAGCCAGACTTTTGAGATTGAGAGAAGGTAAGTACTATTATAAAGATTATTTCATTCATTTTTTCTTCTTGCTGAAATACATTTTTACATACATTTTTATTTATTATCTCAGGTGATGACAATTTAATAATAATTATTTTTGTATTCACTCCTTTGAACAAAGAAGCTGCACTTAAGCACTGGTTAGTGCTTGTTTTGTGCTATCCTTCTTTGCCATCCCAGCATCTGATATTATTATCTTTATTATTCCCAAGAAACATATATGTTTATAGCAGGGAAAATTATGAAAGAGCAACTAAAAAAACAAAAATTAGATAATCAGATAATCATTTTTAAATCATATACATAATACATATAATGTTGTTTCTTCTAAATCTACAAATTCTTGATAATATATAGCATATTGTTCAGTAGACATGAATATTGATTATTATTATTGACTGATATTGTTGAAGCTGAGAAGAGGTAGTTAAGCACTTTTTTTATTTTTTTTATTTGTTTTTATTTGAAATTGTTTGATAGGTCATTCTGCTACACCAAAATACATTCGTTTTCATGGTGCTAATGGCCACAACATTTTAAGTTGTGCAGCAGACTCTACTCTCAGAATTTTCAATACACAAACAGAGCAGTTCAATAAAAGTCTAGGCAAAGCTTCCTACAACAGAAAGAGAAGCAAAAAAAGGGGCAGAGCAGTAGAGGATCCTTTGAAGATGCCTCCCATTGTGCAGTTCACTTCTGAGACAACCAGAGAAAAAGAGTGGGACAATATAGCTGCTATCCATTCTGGTCTGGCAGTGGTAACAACTTGGTCATATGATAAAATCAAGATGGGGGATCTGAAGTTGTTGCCTGAAAGATTTAGGAAGAAAAATGTTGATGTCAATTTGGATGTGGTGGCAACTTGTGTTTGCCTTACACACTGTGGAAATTTTGTCCTGGTTGGGTATAACACAGGACATGTAGACAGGTATAATCATGTCAGGTTAGGAAGTTGTTCAAACTTTGAATGAGGTTTTGATTTTCAGGTTTAATATGCAATCAGGTGCATGGAGAGATTCCTATGGAAATTCCAAGGTTTATGATAGTCCTATTAGAGGAGTTGGAACTGATTCTTTGAATCAGATTGTAATTACTGGTGGTGATGACCATAAAATCAAATTCTGGAGATTCAAAAACAAAGGTAATTTTATCACAATTCTGTGTTTTTCAAACTTTCAGACAATATGATCAAGTCAAAATTTAGTTCATAAAAGAAAACCCATTGGCTTGAATCAATTACTTCTCATTTTATTTAAATCAATATGATATGGATTAAAATCAAATCAAGTTTCAGAATTGAATATCCTGATTTCTACCACTTCAGTGTTTTAATTTGTTGTATCTGTTCCTATTACACTGAGTGAAACAGTCTAGTAGAAATAGGGAGTTTTATTGTGCACTGCTTGATATATTATTATGAAGTTTATTTCATTTCTTTGAACCACACTAAAACATATTTTACCTAAAGAAACTGTTTAGAGCTCATTGCTATGTTTTATCATTGATTGAGAGAGTAGAAAGTTATCTCCTTATCCATTTTTCTCTCCAGTGATGCCAACATAACTGTATTAAAATATAGAGAGGTGCATACCTACTCATCCCATTAGTTGGTTCTTGAAATGAGTTGTTTACATTAAACAGTTCCTGAGAAAGTGGAAGCTCAGCTGAAACAGCCAGTTTTTTTACTCAGTGTGACCAATTTTGATCATGTGCAATGTGCACAGTTTCAATTTTATAGACCATCATATTTTTGATGGATAGAAATTCAGTTTTCTGTGGTTCCCTACAAAGGTGTCAAATGTCAAAAAATAAAATCGGCGCCACTACAAGAGGTGCGTTCGGTTATAACATATCTGTTAGCTCGATTCCATCTCTTAGCTCGGAAAGCGTTCGATAAATCGGATCTACTTCCTCTGTCTAATCTGCTCCGTGTTCGTTAATTGTGAGAGCGAGCTGAAAGATGTAATCTGTTTGCTCCGCCTTGAGGAGCAGATCATTCAGATTTGATCGGTTATTCGGTTGTCAATTGTCAACAAATCAATGTCAACAACATTTTATTGAAATTATATTATCTCTTTTATGTCGAAAAATTGAAGACTCGATCAACTGAAAACGAAACACGAAACTGAATTTTGTAGAATCCTCCTTGCCCAGAATCGCCAGAATGACCGACGAATTTGCTGTTGGTAGCATATTAATTATATATCTGTAATATATGCGATCACAACTGCCCTGGATCCACAATTAATGACCGATCATATGAGACAGAATCATTCCTTCCCTAGTAATTTTCAAAATATAAACAACAAACATTCAATAGAACTTTGTGTTGCCCTGACATGTTTTTGAAAGTAATAAGGTTATGTGAATTGTTTCTGTTTTCTGTTACTTCTGACAGCTGGCGCCCGCAATCTACTACCTCGTTGAGCGTTCGTTAAATATCTTTAGCTCTATCTGCTAGGTGATCACGTGACACCAAATCTGCATCTGTTCGCTCGGCTCCGATTTTGTTAAACCGAACGCACCTAAGGAATGACGTGGAATGACTGGAAGACATGTGTATCTTGAAGTTCACAAGGTTATGATTATTTCTTGTAATGGCGCGTTCACATGACAGCTTTCGCCTATCGCGGAAAGCTTAAATAAAACGAGCGCTCTGTTCACATGAACTTCTGACAAAAGCGACAGTTGAGGAGACAAATTTGATAATCAAAATATTCAGCAAGAAAATTGAATTATCATTGTTCATGGAATTTCGGGAATATATCCGTTTCGAATAACGTTTTTCACATATTTAAGTAAGTTCATCATCTACAATAATTGAACTTCAATCAATAAATAACCAATTGAAATTACATAAAAAACAATATATCAAAAAGTAGGAGACAGAATTCAGTAATCTTTATTGATGACCGTGAATTCTACAGAAATGTTATCAACTACCTATAACTGGAAATTGTACCAACATTTCACTATTTTCCATATTTGAATATGACATATCTCACCACAGTTGACAACAACAACTAACCTGAAAAGATAAAACCCTGGAAATCGGAGCTTCTTTTAGACAAAAAGTCGGATCGTGATCGACTTTTCGGCATATGACCTTGATACGCGCTTTCACATGAATTGGCCAATCAAATCACAATACGCCATAAGCCAAGAGGCAAAAAGCCAGCATGTGAACGCGCCATAAGACAGCTTTCATAAATATCTTCATTCCCAGATAAAATGAATTCTCTTGGTCTCAGAGAACTTTCTCCAAGCACCACAATCACTGCTTCAAATATGCATTAATTCATTTTGTTTATTTATGTCGGAGCCCGAATATATAACCTCTATCATCTATAATACAAATACGTCAATTCTCTTATGCAAGGTCATGAAGTTTCTACTTTAATTTGGAAACGTCATTCTGTTCCCACCACCCTTATCAGAAAGGAACAAATGAAAAGCAACTATAGGCGACGGAATTTAAGATCGCAGCGCCAAAGTGGCCGATTATAGAACTATATGTTGAAATTGTTCATTTGCTTGTGCATATTATTTTTATTTTTGATAGTTTTTTAAGCACGATGTTCTTTGAACATTATAGGGATTCCCTTTCGTGCGCTCCAATCGATAAAAAAAAAGAAAACTTCACTTTTAACTGTTCATTTTTGTACTCTTGTGATTCAAGGCAGCATTTTAGCTGATATTGGTTCAATACAGAATACAGTATGATTCACTACTTCAAATACATGAGATATGTGATTCCCAAAATAAAAATGTTTCATTTTTTGAATTGACTCGGCCGTTACTTGATGAAGATCCATGGCAAATGTAATAACTTCACAAACGATAAGATTTCTACAAAACCACCAGTGTGTTTGAGAATTTTGTACAAATCTTATCGTTTGTGAAGTTTTTACCTTCAAAAATTTCTCAATTAGAGGTTATGTCGTTCCCATTCAGTAGAATAAATATTGCAAATTAGGTGGAGTTATAATGTTGTTGAAGGATGAAGGTCACAGAGTAGGTATTTGTGATTTATATGTAGGTATATCGTAGTCGATTCATATTCATTGTGTTAATGACAGAGAAAAAGTCCTCAAGCTGGATGTATGTGCGAATAATGGACCTAGTAGGAAAAAATGAACATGTGCTTTGATTTTGAGTAAGGATTCCATTTTTTTCAAATTCCTACTGTAATTTTTCACTTCTAGGAAATCTCAAATAAAATGTAACTGAATTCATCTCTAAGTTGAGAGAAAACCTTTCAATTACACAATACACTGACCATTTTCTGTGGAATGCAGTGAGAAAACTTTTATGAATAACATGTGAAATAATGATTCAAGTCACTCTACTGATGAATTTAAACTCGAAAAATATCACAATGACCAATGAGCTTTCGATAAAATGCATGGAAACTTGAATGTAAACCAGGATGAACAGAATATGGTGTGAAAACAAAAACTCCTATCAAATTTCATCTACTGTTTTGGTCAGAGTTCTTGACATAGGGAATGAATATTATGATATTAGATGCGTTTTGTTGTGCCATTCCGGAAGTGATGGAATGAGTGGGCCCAAGAAAACGGATCGGCGCCAGACAATGCGAACATTTGGAACTGTAGAAACATTTGATATTTTCAACCTCAAAATTTCATATTATATTTGTACCCGTATTTGTTTCTGTTATGTAACAATTTCACCATTTCCATCATTCTGCTTTTACTCCCATGAATCAAAAATTGACATAGACTTATTTAATATCCATGATTCTCAACCAACGTTTAAGAATAATGATTGAATTTTTGGAAGATATTAATGCCTTAGATGGAGGAATTCCCGTTTTCTGTGGTTCCCTTCAATTTCTATTTATTATCAGCTTGTATGCGATAAATGCTGATAATTTTTCTTTTATCTGCCAATTCTCATGTCACCATAATAATCACAAGTCACTTTTATTTGTCATTCCAATTTTCAATCCTTCTCATCAGAAGGAATGCGAATGGAAATGGGTTTGAATGCACAACAAAACGCACCTATAATTATTTCTGGTGCAAGCGGTGTGTGAGCGCCGTTTTCTGTCATGAAAGAAATCTGTAAAAAGTGTCGCCATCTTGCGGACAACTGAGAACTAATATGCCATTATTGCGGAATCTGCGGTCAAGCGTTCTGGGAGAAATAAAACACTGTCTGTGATTACACCATATTCCATCCACCTTGATGTAAACAAAAATTCAATGTACTTTCGATATGCTTTCGATTAGTTACTTGAATATCTGCATGATGGCGTATCGCTTATTTTGAATCGCCTATAAATAAGAGACCGGGTGTCATAATGACACTCGAATGACACGACAACCCTCCTAGGTACCGATCCGCTGACCATCATCACCTTGGAGGAACCCATCTGCTTTTTCCGCCAGCACCAAGAGAGCTCGATGCTGGCGGCCGCCCTGGCCGACTTCACCATCGCCATAATCGACTACGACACGCGCAGAGTGGTGAGAAAATTCGCGGGGCACACTGCCCAACTCACCGACGCCGCCCTTAGTCCCGATTCCCGTTGGTTGATCACCTCGTCCATGGACTGCTCGATACGCACGTGGGACATTCCGACGGGTGGATTGGTCGACCAGTTCAAGACCGACGCGGCTTGTGTTTCGTTGAGCATGTCGCCGACTGGGGAGGCGCTGGTTACTGCGCATGTCGACTACTTGGGGATGTTCCTGTGGACCAACAGGTGGGTGTCGATGGTTTCGTGGAATCGTTCGTATTTTGTTGTTTTTGAATTCGTGGGTAACGCTTGTTCTGTCTGTGATTCTGGCTTCGATCGTACTTTTGTTGTTTTCGAATTGAGCTCTTTTCGAACTTGAACGAGAGAGAGGAAAGTTCTCTCCTCTTCCATATTTCGCTTCAATGCTACCAACCTGGCCACATTGAGATATAGAGAAGTCCGATAAATCTTTCCATGTCTATTGTCTAACCTCTAGTCTCCGCCACTGAACTATTTTCAATGTTGTTCGCGATAGAAAATAACACGTACGTAACTCCAAGGTAAAAACTTGAACTCTGAGCGGTTTGTTTTGATGATGTGACCAATAAGCGAAAATGAAAAACAAATATGAACCAATGAAAACAAAACAACTTTCAAGAACTCCAATAGGTGGCGTACGCTTATTTTCTATCGACTGTATTCTATCGCGAATAATGATATTCTTTCCTTCTGTACTGACATATTTCACTTGGACTGAACTGAATCAGATTCTAACTAATCAAATTCTTAGAACACATAATAACTGATCAGTTCAGTTCTAGTGAGATATTTCAGTTAGTTCAGATCATAATAATGTGATATGTCTATGTCATTAATGTCATTGACTGATAACCTTTCAAATTTTTTAGATAAAATTACAGATTATATCATTTTTATTTTGACATTTTATGTTAATATCGTTAATTAGACACGTTGAATTAAAAAATAGTTCAGTGGCACAAACTAGATGTTAGAGAAGGAAAGATTTATCGGACCTCTCTATATTTCAATGCGGCCACGTTGGTAGCATTGAAGAGAAAGGGGGAAGAAGGGAGAACTTTCCTCTCGTTCAAGGTAGAAAAGAGCTTAATTTATGGGTTATGCTTCTTCCATAGCTTTTTGTTCTGTGATTCTGAGTATCGTGATAAAGTTTGTTCACTGCGGTTGCTTACATTATATTGATATTGAAGATATCAATCTTTCTATAGCTTCGGCACACAGTATTTTTGTTGTTTTCAAATTTATGGGTTTTGTAGCTTCTTGTTCTGTGATTCTGTATACGTGACGGTCGCCAGTATCGTTATTAAGTATGATGGCTGCGGCTGCCTACATAATATTGACCAACAGGTAGATATCGATATTTCCATAGCTTCACTCGTATTTTTGTATTCAAATTCATGCCACTTTTCATGTAGCTTATCTGTGTAGCTCCGGTCATATTTTTGTTGCCAAGTCAAAAATCCCATAATTTCGCCAGATAGCCGTAGAGGCTGTAGCCTGGGGAAAAATTATGTGACCTATCAAATAGAAAAACTCTATAGAAAGACTTAAGCAGACTTGTGTTTTTTCAATCTATCAATACGGAACTTAATGACCAGTTCTCACTATGACGGAGAAGACGATATCAGTCAGTTCTACCAACTTTGACCTCACGGCTCAGTAGCGCCGTCTGGTGAACAATGAAATGATGTTAGCTCTCATTCATAACTGTCACTGGTCACTTGTATATAATTATATAGTAGTATTGTGATAAAGTGTAGTACTGTCTGTGGTTTAATCTTGCAATTTTTAGATAACACGCTTTCTTGCAAAATTATCGGTAATTTTTATGCACCTGTGCAATTATAACCAAATATGTTCTGAAATTAATCATCTTGGTTCTTAAAATGAGTTGTTTATGGTACATATGGTTCCAGACAAAGCGGGAGATTTTTTGGGTACCCGAGCCGGCTTTTTTTTTGATAACTTCGGTTTGTTTTGGGTGTTTTTGCCTTTGGATGCATTTCGAAGATTTGCTTTTATTAAGAACAGAGTCTATAGAAAGTGGATCAATATCACAAAGGATATGTTGGTGAATATTGAGAATGTAAGAAATATTTCCATATTTGAAGTTTAAGTTGAAGGCATAATTTTTATTATTAATAATATGAACGGAACTTGGACAATTTACCAGTAGAGGTTATAGTTTTCACCTATTAATGAATTTTTTTGTTGTAAAACAATGACAATGACACCGGTATTCTTCCAAGTTCCTCCACTTTCATTGATTATACATTATTCACAGTAAATACTTCTATACCGATATTTCATAATTTTGGTTATAATTAGGACCTTATATGAGAGAGTTACGCTGCAAACCTTGTCAGCTACCGATGATCCACCGCTGGTGACCTTGCCAGAATGCCGGCATGAACCTTCAGAACAAGAAGAAGAACAAATCAGAGAAGAAGAACCGGAATTCGTCTCTCCCGAGCAGATCAGCAAGGATCTTATAACGCTCTCCGGTCTGTCCACTTCCAGGTGGCAGAACTTATTAGACATCGAGCTGATCAAGAAGAGAAATAAACCCAAAGATCCCCCAAAGGCTCCTAAAGCCGCTCCTTTCTTCCTTCCAACTGTCGCATCCCTGAATAACATACAATTCGACTTGGAAGCTAGCAAGACCGAGGGTAGTAGATTCATGACCCCAGTGACGTTAGTGAATTTGTCCGAATTCGGTAAAATGCTCCAGGGTACGATTAGTACCAACGATTTCCACCAGGTGATTGATAAACTGAAAACTCTTGGTCCGTCTATGATAGACTTTGAGATAAAATGTCTGGCACCTGAGGGTGGAGGTTCTGTTGATGTAATGTTACAGTTTTTGAAGTGTGTCGAATTTATGTTGAAATCTAATAAGGACTTTGAGCTGGCCGAAGCTTATTTGGGGGTTTTCTTGAAATCGCATGGGAATCTGATGGCGAAAGAAGAGATTTTGAGGAACTATTTGCCTAATATCAGGAGCTGCCATTCTGTGACCTGGGAAAGGTTACAAGAAAAATTGTTTTATTGCACTTGCGTGGTGCAGAATCTGAAGACAATGTAATTGTTTGAATAAAGTGAAAGACGGTGTTTTGTGAAGTTTGTTTTATTTTGAATTTCTGCTAACTGCTGACAACCAGAACATTTTTCTAATTCCAAAAAGACAACTATAGTCTTAGATCTGTTCGGCTAAGACTGCGAAGACTATCAAATCAAGAGGATAATCATTCAATAATAACATATTATACAAAAAAACCCATTACAATTGACAGTTCTCTGGCAGCTACCCCCAACTTTTTTTTCAAATGTCACCCTCGTGTCTCGTCATTCAAGAGCAGTTCGGCTAGCGTCGAGAGAGAAGAAATCTTCCCACTTTAGTGTCCCAACGTGAAGTAATGGAAATTTTATGTTGGTAACATTGGAAATGGAAAAAAATTAAGAAGAAGATCATATTAACCTCAATATAAACCAGTGTTACCAACATACAAAATTTCTCTCAACGCTAGCTGAACTACTATCCATCAGCCCAGTGTGATTATAGATGTAAGCAAATAAGGAGCAAATGCGCATGCGTCTGTTATGTATCACGTAAGTCACCTTGACCAATCACAACGAAGTTTGGGAATTATTTGAAAACTTTAGGCTCGGAAGTTTTTTAATAGGCGTTTTCGGAAACCTACTCGGGTTGACTCGATCCCTAACCTGCACGTTCGTTTACCTAACCCGAGTAACATACCCATGTTCGGAAACTTCGGTGTTACTTACTCGATCACTAACTCGGATTCATGTTTCGCAACCCTGCTCCAAAGCAGGGTCAGCCAGAGTTACTACATTGTTACTACCTTATATCTGAGATGTTTCTTATATCATACACTTACTACCACAGAACTACTCACGATTCATGTATTTCTATGGTCACTTCAGATATTATTTGATTTCATCAATTGAACAAGAAGTGAATTATGTTGAATAGCATTAGTTTGATGATGAAAATACACCAACATCATGAGCAGAAGCAATATTCATCCTTTCTAAAACAATAACAACGTGTATCTTTTTAGAGTTCAGTGGTATGTTTTTAAAGATATGGAGAAATTGATCCGAAAATATTGATATCGTATAGCAAACTGAAAAAATTGCATACGTAAGAAATCAAGAAGTTCTATATTCGAAGAGGTATAAAGCTAACTCAATAAAATAGTAACCTGATAAGTTCGTAAACTATAGTATTAGGATAAGTGATCCGACTGATCCATCACGTGACCCGTTCAGATCGAGTCAACAACCCAGAGTAAGTTTCCGAAAATGCCTAATGTTTGCTTCAATGTGTCAACTGTCACTGTTATTTTTGATGTCTCGAAATTTCAAATAAAATTATGAGTGATAAGCATATCCCATCATCTTCGATGGATATATCTCCAAGTAAATCTGACGAGCCCAGGAAAAGAACAACGACCACTTTCTCCAAGAAGAAAATCCAAATCGCAGGTGTTGTAGCAGAAGGTGACATGAATGAACCGCCGAAAGCATCTTCTGCTGATAGTGATGATGATGACTTCTATTCTGCGCGTAGTTCGACTATTGTGATTTCTAGCATTTCTAATAACTCTGATTTTCATGATAGTTTCGCCAGCGCTAATTCTTGTCATACAACATTAATGGAATCCAAGCAGGAGAATGAGGCCAAGAACAAATAATTGTAAGTATTTTTTTACATAGTTATTAATGGTTTCAAATAGATCTTCATAGTTGGAACAAGTTTGTTCAAATTCTTCAATTTATATTTTCTAGTTTGATGTATTTTGAATTCGAAAGAGCCAAGATTTCAACCTCAGCAATCAGTGTAAGCGGTTTCATGTGAATCCAGCTTAATCTATCTTTAAGTTGGTAGCTCTATTCCATTTTACATGTTGGTAGCGTGTGGCATGAGTGACAATTGACAAATAATTTGCCGCCTTTCTTTTGTCGACGATCCCGGATCTAAATATGGCGTCTACAGAAAATGCTGGCGTGACTACTGGCCAACCCAATTTACACAAACAGGATTTATCTAAATTGGTAAGTACAACGATATTTCCTTATTTCTTATCAAAATTATTTTAGATAGTTTTTCTTTCCCTCTTCCAAACTATGAGGTCCTAACCTCAATTGCATCATATTTGACAATGTTGTGAATGTGCTCTCCAGGAATTAAAAGCAATATTTTTCTTCTAGGATGTTTCCAAGTTGACTGCTTTGTCTCCTGAAGTAATAAGTAGGCAAGCTACCATAAATATTGGCACAATTGGTCATGTAGCTCATGGTAAATCAACAGTGGTCAAAGCCATTTCTGGGGTACAGACTGTAAGATTCAAAAATGAACTTGAGAGGAATATTACAATCAAATTAGGTGAGTACCTGCTGTACAATATCATGTTTCTGTAATAATGTAACAATAATAATTGTGAATATGGGTTGCATGCCATGAAAGATAAATATAACAAAATAAATACTATATGAAGTGTTGAGTTTACTTTGGGGGTTGTGGATGTGTGTATTAATTGGTTTTGGCATTGATGTGGATGTATACTAGAATTCAGCTTGAATACCAGATTTCTTAGTATTATTTCAGATAGGGATTGGGTAAGTTCTGGTAAAATATTCTTATTGCATGTTGATTGATTTGCAGGGAATTTCAATGTACATTCTGAACTAATTAAAAAATTGATATTTAGTGGATCAGTGCTGATGAAAATCAGAAGTTTGAGGGATTATGTTCATGAATCTTGTATTTGTTCAATGGGATAAGAACATTACTATTTTCAATACATGTGTATTCTTCATAACAGTAAACTTGATCAAAAAAACAACCCTTTGGAGTAATTTCCTAATTGTAAGAATTTATGTTTATCAATCAGACATAGGTTATTATATTTTGTTTTTGAGGTAAGGTAACTAGTAAACTCCATTAGAAAACTTGCTATGATCCTAAAGTGTTGACAGTACTCCCTGAACACCTATTTTGAGGTCCCTAATTGTCTCAGAAATTGAAACATCCTGAGCACTGACCAGTTGGATGAATTTCTGATGTTTCAAATTTGGGCATTTCCTGAGCTGTTCTTATATCTACAAAAGAAATCCTCTTAATTTTTTTATGACACTCTAAAATACAATTAATAGATTATTTGTAGTTGTACTGATTAATAATATGCTTTTACTTGAAAATGTGTTGTTTTATTTATATTCTAAGATACTTTTAGATTATTGTGCAATCTCACAAGAATAAATTATGTTTAGTACCTTAATGTACCTTATTGAAAATACAACTGGAATTTTTATTCAATTTGATACAAATTCAGATATACAGGGTGGTCCATTATTATTTGTAGTACTTCAATTATTGATGAACATTAACAAGAAAAGATTAATACTGGTTTATGTTTTTTATGTGAGATAGCTACAGGGTGTTGAAAAATTATTTTCTGAGGGTGAAATTGTACTTTCTTTCAAAAGGTCATTTTATCTCAAATAGAACCATTATTTTCATTTATTTCTGGACTAGATAGTAAAAAGTCTGAATCCAAACCTGGAAAAAAATTTTCCATACAGGGTGAAAAGAAATAGTTCTGGCACAAAAGACAAAAAAATCAACTGGTATAATGATTTTCATCTCATGCATTTTTTTAGGAGATGATTCAAGCTGGTGTCTATGATATTAATTCATTTGTGTAACTTTGTATAACTGGATATAATTGTATCTATCATTATGAATTATTGAATGACATTACTATCCTGCATACACAATTGATTTTTTTTTTCATTCCAAATTTGTTTTTCTCAGTTTACCTAATAATTCAATTTTTTGATCAGATAATCAATATTACCATTAACATCAAATCCTATAGTAGGCTCAAGCTTGGTAGATTGAACATTTATCATAAGAGGGTCAACATCTCCAATTGAAAGATCTGCTTGAAAACAAATGAAACAAGAATATACAAATAGATTTAATAATTCAATATGGTGATCTCTATTTTCTGTCAAACCTGAAGTTAGATTTATACGGGGTGAGTCATTGAAATGGGAAAGTGAGATAACACCTTTGATGTTTGAGATAGATGAACAAAAATTGTTGTGATGATCTAGGCTCATGAGCAGCACATTTCCAAAATATTTCGCTTTATACAGGGTGACTCAAAAATGCGTGACGTATCAAAGTTATACTTTTTCTTATGGGACACCCTGTATTTCATTGCATTTTCGGATTCTCCTTTGTGAGCTGATTTCATCAATGCATCACACTTGGGTCTAGCGAGAATGATTACAGAGATATAGGGTGTGCAAAATCGAGATATTTTCAACTTTAGGATTTTTTTGAGTCGAAACTATTCATTATTGGTCAAAACGGCATACATGTCCCTATTTTGACTTTTGATTTACTATGTACTGATATTTAATTTGAACGAATACAGGGTAGTTCAAAATTCAGAATTATGAACCACCCTGTAATCGTTCAAATTAAATATCATTAGATAGTAAATCAAAAGTTAAGATAGGGACATGTATGCCGTTTTGACCAATAATGAATAGTTTCGACCCAAATAAATCCTAAAGTTGAAATATCTCGATTTTGCACACCCTATATCTCTGTAATCATTCTTGCTAGACCCGAGTGTGGTGCATTGATGAAATCAACTCACAAAGGAGAATCCGAAAATGCAATGAAATACAGGGTGTCCCATAAGAAAAAGTATAACTTTGATACGTCACGCATTTTTGAGTCACCCTGTATGAAGCGAAATATTTTGGAAATGTGCTGCTCATGAGCTTAGATCATCACAACAATTTTTGTTCATCTATCTCAAACATCAAAGGTGTTATCTCACTTTCCCATTTCAATGACTCACCCTGTATGTGTTTATATTTCCATTTTTCTATGAATTTCGTATTTTTTCAATTTCAACTGGAAAAAGTTTTTCATGCCTGTATGTGTTTTGAAATGAAACATATATTTCAATATACCTCATTCAATTTGGTTTATCGGTAGTTTTGTTTTTGAAAATTTGTTGTGGTGTTGACAAATTGTACCAGATATTCCTAGAATGCAGACATATTTGAAATAACAATCAAATATCTATACTTTTGAGAATGCATAGATTGGCAATACACCATGCTGTATCACATGAGAATTACATATCATGCTGACAGTTCAGATATAAATTTGTTCAAAGATGTCTGGGCTTAAGAGATACTGTTGAAATTTGGCAACGGTGCATCAGATTTTCTAAAATGAAAATTGTAAATGGAGTATATTTAAAAACTATAGCGGGTGACACAGACTCAACTCGTGGTATACCTTCCTTTCCTCCTTTGTTTTTCTAGCTATATTTCTGAAATTTTGGAATATTGAATATGCTCACTAAAGGACACTTCCTCACATTTTAGGAATTTTTTTACATCTTCCGGTTTTCCTGGAAATGATATCAATTTTTGATTTCCATAACCGGTTATGGATTATTATAACGAATTCAACGATATCAGGTTTGATTGGGTTATTTCAAATAATTGAGAATATATTCGCGTTCGGAGTTTCCATATTATTCCAAGAGCCGGTTGCAAATTTCGGTCGTCATCTGACAACGAAATGATATACAGGGTGATTCTAAAGTAAGCAGCATCCTTCTAGGGGCGTATTCCTTGCATGAAAATAAGGCAAAAAGTTTTTAAAATGCTTCCTATGGGAGCTACGCCCCTTTGAATAGGACACCACAGACGATTTATTGTTTATAACCTTAAAATCCCTCACAATGAATTTTAGAAAATTGGTGTGCGGCATAAACATTTGAATTCATAATTTAAAAATTTCCCAGGGGCGTCACATGCGGGGAAAGGTAAATGTAAGAACATCCCTTCTTCTTTTTATATTCAAGTTATTGTGATTTACACAAATCCGAAAGTTTTTAAAGTCGATTTTCTCCTTGATGGTAAGCTCTATCGGAATGAACTAGGAGAACCTTTTTTTTTTAACTGAAAATCTCTAGAATTTTATAATTTTGAAACGAAATGACTATAACCTGAATATCAAAAGAAGAAGGGATGTTTTTACACTTACGTACCCTCCCCCGCATATGACACCCCTGAATAAAATTTTGCAATTTTCAATTCAGAGTCTTATTTATCATCAGATGTTAATGCCATACACTAATTTTCGAAGATTTATTGTGAAGGATTCCAAAGTTAGGTGATTTTGCACTTATCATGCGATGGTTTTTTTTTCGAAATTTTTTTTTGGTACTTACGTATTTTTGTCTGAAAAACACGAATTCGATAATGAAAATGTGAACAAACCATTATTTATTAAGATATTTCACTATGAAGTTACAAATTTCACCTTCTTTTCCGCCTGTCTTCTGGATCGCATTTAGAACAATTTGCCCTTCTTTTTCCATCATTGGACAATTTATTTATATCACACAATGTTGGACACATTTTCTTTATTATTTATGAGAAATATGATTTTCATGTGATTTATCCATGTTTAGTGGAAAGAAGGAAGAATATCATTTGAAATAATGGCGCGTGTAATGTCATTCCAAAGCAATCTATTGACATTTGACATCTCGTATTTGGATTGCCTATGGATTAAATGGCCGTCATCTGTAATGCTTGCACAATAAATAGGAAAAACTCACTATAAAAATCATATTTTCTGTTAAATTTTCTATCGTCATTGAAGTACATCATGAGTAGGTATATAAAGTGTCCAATGACAAAATAAAAAGAGCAAGTACCTGTAAATGCATCAAACACAAGGGGGAAAAGAAGGCAAAATTTCCAAAATTTTTCTTGAAATATCTCGAAAAACAATAGTTTGTTCACATTTTCATTATCAAATTCGTGTTTTTCAGACAAAAATAAGTGAGCAACAAAAACATTTTTCGAAAAAAGAAACCCATCGCATGATAAGTGCAAAATTACCCAAAGTAATAGAGGAAAAATCGTCTTTGAGATGTCCTATTCAAAGGGGCGTACCTCCCTCAGGAAGCATTTTCGGACCCTTATAAATTGGAACTTTTTGCCCCATTTTCATGCAAGGAATACGCCCCTGAAAGGATGCCGCTTACTTTTGAATCACCCTGTATGTACAGAAGGCATGTAGAACCATTGTAATTGGGGATGATGTTGCCTTTTGCGAATATCCAAACGTGCAGCGATTCAAACTGATCTAAGTTAGTGGCAGAGCGTCAATACTTCCGAGAATATTTCGCCCTCCTCTGAAGATAATATCCGATGGACCAGGGACATTTTCCCTTTCATTTGCTTTTTGTTTCAACTCGTTATCACATGACGGAAGTATGCCCGGAATAATAGCAGCAAATAAATCTCTGTGCCGTGGATTTGGCTGATTGG